TTATTTTATTGCAATTCAATTTGTTCAAATTTTGTATTTTCTTCCCAATTTTAATGAAAATGCATTATTTTGTTATCTTCTCTTGTTATTTCAATTCTTTTACTTCCATGGGTAGCTAAATTATTTCTTCAACCCTCTTACGAGTGGTTTAGTTTATCTATTTTAAATTACATCTATCAGTGAGCACGACATATTATGCTCTCTTTGCTTATCTTGATTGATACAATTTATCCAGTTAATTTTCTTGTTGGCCACTTGTTAAATCACATTAGTTTGATCTTAATTCTGAAAAGGTTAGAGTCAGCTGGATTTCATCAAGGTAAAACATGAAGTTACTTAGAAATAAAAACTAAAACAAGATCCTAGACATAGGCTCTTACCCGTTAAACGTAAGTTGAAGTTTGATTTAATTAGAATTCTAGAGCTTCATAGCATTTGTAAACGTTAGCCTAAACTTCTAAACAAACCAAAAGCGGTATGGAATATGAGTTGAACCAGTTTGAATAAATTGAGCATAATTACGAGCCCATTTGGTAGGTGTAATTCATCTTTTTAGAACTAAACTGTAGTTGGGGGGTTGGCTTTTAAATTCTATTATTTTCTTGTGTTTTTAAATTGTGTTCCCAACAAATTCACTAACTTTTATCTCAAACCTGATTGTTCATTCAAGCGGTTTACAAAATCAATTTTAAAAGAAAACTAGTCCCTGTGGAGGAGGTGCAACAAACAGATTCCTTACAGTAGTGTCGATCTGCTCGTCGCTAGTGAATTAAGATTTCAACTTTTCTGTAATTTTTTTTGTCCAAGTAAAGAAAAAATTATGGCAACCCAACAACTCAACTTGACCTAACCCAAAGATTGTTTGGTTGGGTTGGGTTGGCCATTTATTTTGGGCCCATCGGTTCTCATAGATGGCCAACCCAAAAATTCGGGTTGGTCCAAAAATGTCTCTAACCCGACCAACCCAACCCGTGAACACCCCTATAACCTACCTTTAGGACCTACATTTAGCGGGAAAAATGGCAGAAGCTCATGCTGATAATGTATTGTAAAATTATGGAGAAAAAAGGCACTACGAATACACGAGCAACGAGAGAATATGAGAGTTGACAAAATATAAAATTGAAATATAAAAATAGAATAGAATTTTGGAAATACAAAACTTGCTTAGAATTTCAAATTGGATTTTCCCGCCACTTTTTCATCAGAAAAGGAACTATGAATTGCCACTATTTATAGTAATTTGGACAACCATGAGGTGTACAATTGGACACTAACAATATGTAGAAAAGAGACACATTGAACAATTGGGATTAAGCATTTGGGGCATAGATCATTTTGACACTTAGGATACTAAGCAAATAGAAAATTAGACACATGGAGCCAAGGCATTAAGACACCCCTTTTGTTTACACTTAAGCTAGGGCATCTATTTTAATAATGCTTAAAACAATAATTTCATGGAAATAAAAGTGAGAAAAAGGATAATATTGAAAATTTGAATTATTTAAGTATTAAACTAGAAGGGAAAAGGCACCAATAAATGGTATTTGGTATTAATTACGTGAGAGAAAGGGTGAATGAAAATTTTGCCCAATGGTTAATAGCTCAAGATGAGATAAGATCAAGGTTAAAATATCGATGTCGACAGAATTGTCGAGGTATGGATTTTACGGAAGTCGATGGAAATAATGATGTCGATGGATATTTTAGAAAAGTCATGGAAATTGATGGAAATTGATGGAAATTGTATGAATTATTAAATGAAGTTTTAATTGTGATTTAATTAGGCAATAATTGATCATTTTTAATCATCAATATTTATCTAAAATATAATTAATATTTTATATAAAATGTTGATATTAACATAAATTTTGAGAAATCATGAAAGTTGATTAAAGTTGTTTTAATTAGCAGACTTTAATCGTGGTTCAATTAAGGTATAATTGACCATTTTAATTCATCATATCTGAAAATTTAATTAATACTCACATGAAATATCGATATTAACAGGAATTTGGAAAACAAAATCATGGAAAATATAAAAATATAGATAAAAATAAAAGAGCATTTAAGAAAATAACATAGAGTAAATAGGTAACTTTAAATATAATCTAAAATTTGAAATTTAAAAAGATAACATAACTATATCATGCAATTAAACTATATAAATAAAATAAAATGAAATGAAAGAAAATGTAAAGGTCACTAGTGAGTGGTGTTGTAAGGTACATCTGAGCAATAGTTATGGGAAGAAAGTGTGTAAAGCGTGAGAGGTTGTCCCACATCGAAAAACTAAATGAAAGAGGAGCACTAACTCCCTATTAAAGCTTCTCTTTCTTCTATTGTAAGCATGAATAGTAAGACTAAAAGTTGTATTGGCCTTTGTCATTTCGTGATGGCTCGTGTGAAGCAAAACAAGTTATGGGATCAATTGATTATGGCTTGTATGAAGTATAAAATTTTTAATTGGTAGTTCGATATTGTTCAACATGTCTTCGACTTCTCAATATTTTTAGAAACTGACGAGGGGAGAACAGAATTCCCCCCTTCTCTCATATGTTGAATACCTCGACATGATGTCATGTCTATAGACCCCTAAATTTGTCTAGTATTCAATTTCATATGAATTTTTGTTTATATTTTATAGTAAATTCTTTCCTTTTGTATGTTTTATCAAAAGAAAATAAAATTAAAAAGTATTTGGTTTAAATATCGATTTCCTCTTTTTTTTTTTTTCAAAATCAAATCCTTTTTTCTTAAGAAACGTAATAAAATCATTGGATTAAATGTGAATTTCCATATTTTCTCAAAATAAAATTTTTCAATAAAAATAAAATAAAATCTTTCTCATTTGAAAAAGTGTTAATTTGATTTAGCAAAACTAGGTAAAAATCAAATCTTTTAATTATTATTTGAAATCATAATATATTTTTTTCCTTTTTCAAAGATTCCACTAATTAATAAAAAAAATATATACTTTTGTTATTTGATTTAAATACTTGATATTTTCCTAAAAAAGTAAAGGGTTTGAATTCTATATATAAGAGCTGGGTGGCTAGGTTTTAGGTAATGGAAAAACACATCATAAATAGAGGTCTACTACTCTTTTTTTTTTTTTTGTTCTCTTAAGGTTTGCTTCCTTTTTTTCTCTCTTGGTTCATTACTTTATCGTTCTACCACAAATTCACTCTCACCATTTCCTAATCGTTCATCATAATCTATCACACGATATCTCACTCGCTCTCTACTTTTTCTTCTTCTTCTTTCTCTTCTACTCACCATAACTTCTTTTATCTTCTTCCATTCTGGTTATTACTTTTGTTTTATTTTCTTTATTTTTTGTCTCTTTATTCATTTTCTCTCAAAGTTTCCTTTATCACTATTTTCACAATTTTCTTCTTCATCATTTGACTAGCGACACATTTGAATAAGAAGGCAAAAATCGGAGTTTTGTTCTCAAGACGGTAAGTTTCCATGTTGTTAGGTAGAAAAATGTAGTAGAGAGAGATGAAAAAATGTGAATGGATTGGGTGGTAATTTTTTAAAGAGAGAAAAATAATGTAATTTTAGAGAGAGGGAAACGACAAAATTGCCATCAAGTTATCACCCTCATCATTGGACCAGCCCGATCTAGCCCAGTCTAAAGAAGCAAAGGCTCGAGCTCGGCTCGAGCCCAAACCCTACGGGCCTCAAACATTATTTGGGTCGGGCTTGGGCGGATCCAACCACTAAAACCTAGGTCTATAGCCCAATCCACGAACCTAAATCAATGGGTTAAAGTTGGATCGGGCTTGGATCGACCCTTTGGATTGAACTTGAATTAGCCCATATAATAAATTATTTTTTATATTTATTTAAAATATGTTTTTGAGTTTTAGAATTTGTGTTTTTATTTTATGCTTTTGTATTGTGTTTTTTACTTTCTAAAAAGTTATCATATCATATTTTTACAACTTAATTTATTTTTATTTTTAAAGAAATAAATTGTATTACTCTATTAATATAAATTTTTTTTAGAAGAATGAGAATGACTGGAAAAAAACGCTAAATACTAATTAATTATATATATATAATCATACTCGACTATATTGGATTGGATCTTTAGGTCGACCCAAACGGACCAGCACAATTTAAAAAACAAATATCCATATCCAATCCAATTTGTGGATGGATTGGACTGGGCCGGTCAAACGTTGACCTTGGGCCGGGCTTGGATCAGGCTTGAACTGGGTTTGGATCAAACCTGAACGGGGCTTGGACCGGCCTTTGGGCTTTGAGCCCGATGATGAGGTTGATCAAATTATAGACAAAAAAAAAAAATTGAATGGTAAAATACGGAGAAACTTAGTTTAAAATTAAAGTTTATCCGTATACACCTTTTATATATAAAATAGACGTTAAAAATTAGTTTAAAATATTATTAAAAGTAATAGAAATAAAATAATATAAATAAATTTTAAAAATGACATAATATAAATGGTGGATGTTCTTTTTTCTCTTTTTTAGAGAATAATTGGTTGAAATTTAGTTTTGAATATATGAAATTTAAATACACTTTTAAATCCACAAATATATGGAATCTAAAGAGTTTCGATACGAAAAGTTTTACCTTTTATTTTCTAAAAATCTAAAGATTTTATTTTTAATCATAATTAATTATAGAATTTTAAATGAGTTTAAATTTTAAAAGCTTTATAATTCTTCCCTTTTTTACAATTATAAAAGAGAACTATTTCATCATTTTTTGACAAAAAAATTATTTGAATTCTATTTTCTTTGTCCTAATTTTAGTTATTTTGTGTCATTTGCTTTTCATGTATTGGTAATCTGAAAAGCAGTTATCATGTTAGTAGTAAAATATTTTCTTTAAAAGAAATAAATATATTTTTAGAAAGTTTACATGGATATTTTTTTTATTTGTGTATTATTTTTTTTTAATTTTAAAAAATAGTGGTATTATATTGTTTTTTTTAATTTTAAAAAAATATGCTCAATTTTCCCGATTTCTCCTTCCTCCCCACCTTGCGCGCAACTCCCAATAACATCGCTTCCCTAGCCTAGATATTGTCGACGGCTGAGCCTCCGACGACGAACATACCCACCGGCGACGGCGACGGCGGGCGGCGAACACAGCCACGGCCAGCTACTTGTGACGTCGAATCGGCGCGACCTACGACAGGCCAAACCTACATATTCGAGCCCTCTCCTTGTGGCGGTCGAGACCTACGACGACTGGCCCAGTACTGTACGTTGTTTCTCTTTACTGAGTCAGTAAAAGCATTGTATCAATTAACTCTATAGTTTAACTGACTACGGGGATTGTGTGTTTTATAGTTAGTGTAAAATATGTTAATAGGTTTATGATAAAACTTAAGATCCAACCAAAAGCTTTTTTTTGTTATACCCACTATTTTCGTTGTTTTTTTTAATACATTAGCATACATAGTTTGAACAAAAAATTTCTTTGGACAATTTTTGAACATGTTACCCATCGCATTTTTTAAAATACTGAAAACATAAATTACAACTATGTTTTTCACAAAAAAAATTTCTCCAATTGGATAACAATGAAGAGTAACTGTAGTGATGTATGAAGAACGGTCATGAATACTGGAAATTAGAGGTAAGTATGCTCTCTCCTCTCTCCTCCTCTTCCTCTCAAGTCCCTCAGTTTAGGTTGCTGTATTGAAGATTGCTTAAGTATTGGTCATGTTCCAAACCTTGCCTGAATCGATTATTGTCGTGGGATTAGTTACTTCTTTAGCCTTTTAGTATTATTTATCATGGAAATTAACAGTTGCTGTGTTGGAAATAAGTATTATTGCTTTTGGATCGAAAACTAGTGGTTTTTCATGAAAGAGATGAGTTGTAAATTTTCTCTGCCAATGAAACGTCCTCTGATGGCTTGGTTTGAAGAACAGATGGTTGAACTAATGCAGTTACCATTGCACTACCATTTCTCGGTTCAGACAAGAGATGCAAATGGTAGGTACAGCGTACAGAATCCAAAAGCTTCGCTCTGGTTTTGGATTTCAGGCTGAACTGGCTGTTTGGCCAATCACTGGGGGTTTAAAGAGATTTCCAGTAGCGGCTGGTTTTAAAAAGAAGGGTTGGTTGGTTTTTTGGGATATGTTGAAGGACGACTTGTCAAGGAAAAAGGATTCTTTAGGGGCACAAAAAGTTCCTTCTCCTAATTTGTCTTTTTCTGAGGTTGTATCAGGGAAGAAAAAAGTGTTGGAATTAATCCCTCTTTTCAGAACAATGGGAGAAACAGTAGAATGACAGTTCACTGAAAAATCAAAATTCCTTTTGGATTAAAAAGGATTCCGAGGTGGTGGAGATTGACTGGGACAACTTAATGGTTGTTTCTAGGTGTAATGCCAATGCGCTTGACGATTGGAAATTAATTTCTGCTGCTGTAAAGAATGAGTTCTCTCAAAGTTTTTTGATTAATCCTTTCACGGAGGATGAAGCACTGTTGAAGTTCGAGGATAATAGATTGTTGGGAAGCCATATGAATGACTGGAGATGGAGAAGACTGGGTAACTTCCATGCTAAAATAGAAAAATGGGATTTCGTAAAGCATAGTAGAGAAGAGGTAGTCAAAGGATATGGTGGATGGATTAAACTTCATGGCCTACTGTTGAAACATTGGTCAAAGCAATCCTTTGAAGCATTATGCAAATATGTGTGGATTCCTGTCTACTTCCATTGCAATTTTAGATCCTCGTCTTAGTTCTTTTCAAATTCGGGTCTCCCTTATTACGAGATCAAAGTTTGTTGTGCATCGATTGAATTTATCAGACCTGAATATCAATAACTTTTCGAATTCCCTTGACCTGGAGAGAATTCAGTAAGTTTTGGAAGATGAACGATCCTTTATTTGAGCGGCACCTTAAATAAGGAGATGGAAAGAGTGCCTCCTTGCGAATTTAGAATACCAGGCGGCATAAATGAAGAAATTAGACAATTGGATGACCATTCGGATCCAATTGTAGAAAATATGGAAAGTCCTTTAGGGAGATTAACAGAAATAGCTGGCACAATTAATGAGAATTAGAAAGAGAAGCAGATGTATGTTTTAACTGTAACAACTCATAATCCGTTTATGAGGAAAGAGGGACTGAAAATTTGATTGGACAGTTGGTGGATGAAAATGTATTAGCCATTTCAAATAGCACTGGGCCCTCCCTTCTTTTAATCTTGATAAATTACCAAGGGGAAACTTTATCCCTACTTTACCTTTTTCGTATTCCAGATGGAAATTTGCACCAAGATCTTTTAACGGTCCTTGCTCCCAGCCAATAAATTTAAATGAAGCTTTCAATAAGGAGACAGAATCAATGAAGACAAAAAGGTGCAAGGTAAATGTAACTACATCCATTATTAATTCCCCTAATAATGAAGAACCCCTCTTTCACAAATAGTGACCTTTTAGATGAAAGAGAAATAAATCATAATGGGAAGAGAATTGCTCAAGCTTCTTTGGAGAATCCTCCTTTCTCGGTTTCTTTCAAGGAAAATATGACAAATAATGTGCAATACCCCTTTCCAGAGGATTAATTAACTCAACCAATATTTTTGCTAAAGAAAGGCACAAGGACATTGTTTTTTCTGATGACGAGGATTGTTTGAATGTTAGTATCAGCAGCCAAGATTCCTCTACAGACCAACATGAGTCCTGTCAGCATGCTTTGTCCTCACTCACATGCTTCCTAGTAAAGCAACTAGGAGGCCCCAGGCCCAAGATTCAGAATCTTGGGTCTGGGGCGTTACACGTTAGTGTTGAATGAATATATTGTTGACAGATTTCTTGTTGGTTGGATTGATTTATGGCTTTATAGCCTATTCCTTTCTTCCTAACATTCTAAAGGTAATGTGAAGAGTTTAAATAGGAGCCTTGGTTGGTACATGGTTTCATTATCCCTCTCGTTTTTCAAGGAGTTTTGGTTGGTGCATGGTTTCTTGTTTTCTTGGCCGCTGCATATCAAGGCCCTTTTTGGTTATCAAGGTGTGTTGGGCGGTTCAAGTTCTCTTGCTTATTTATTTCACCTTTATTACTTGGTCTCGGATGTTTATGAGGCTTATTAATGGAGATTTATTTGGGAATTCGAAAAGTCTCTCTTCAGACTTAATTTTTAATCCTTGATTTTCAGTTGGCTGATGATTCAGATTTAGATTTTTGTTTGCCTAAGAAGTTGAAACGTCAGATTAAGCCTTTGACTTATTATTTATATCCTTCTGTTTTTGTTGGAGGCATATTTGGTCTTTCATAACTCCGAACTTGTCAAGCTTTACAAAGAACGGGTTTTGTTGTTAGAAGAAGAGTGTGCTAGAAGAAGTTTAAAGAAGTTTGGAGATACAAGCTGCTCGAGTTAGAGCAAAAGCTATAATTCGAGTCACATTTTTCTAGGATCTCAAAGTCCTCTTTCCAGATGATAAGGTTGGAGTGCTCGGAGTGCTCAAAGTTGAAGGCTCTTCAAGATTATCTTGTTCCTTCCTCGCGTCTTGGTGGATCGTTTTGTTAAGCATGATCTTTTTGATGGTTCTCATGGTTCTTACTTTGATTGTATTGTTACTTGTTCAGACTATTTTTTATTTGGTTCTTCTTTTCTTTTTTCTCTCGCCCCTTCGGGAGTTTGTATCTTTCATCTTTTTCTCCTTTTCATATATCAATGAAAAGTTGTTTCTTTTTTTATGAAAAGTTGTTTCTTGTTCTAAAAAAAGAAAGAAAAACCATGTTTTTCGTTAAGTCCCTTGTTTTCACTTTCCTGTTTTCAGATCACCAACCAAACACATTATTAGAGATTTCGAATCAATAGGGATTAAAGTGCAGGGCCAAGTAAGTGATATCTCTCTTATAGGACATTGCATGTCGGTTTTCCGTATTACTTTGTCTTGGAGTTTTAAACTTTGTTTTTGGGAGCGTTAAGGGTGAGCGTAAGTCGTCCTTACTTCTTGATTTGCTTGAAACAATTGTGACTTCGTCCTTGTTCTTTTGCTAGTCTTTGCAGATTCAATTTGGAGCACTGTCCAACATCACATTACAATATGGTGTGGTGTAGTAATTGTGTAAAAAGTGTTGCTGGGTCTCGAGATGAAGCTGGTTTCCAGTAAGTATTTGTTTTTAAAATGTAATCTATAATAGTCAAGAAATTTGGAAAAATTGATTATTGATGTTGCTCGAGCTTATGATCTGAAAATGCATTCTTAGTTATCTGATATTGTTTTTTGGGTTTTTGTGTCTTTGTTTTATAGATACTGTGATATGTGTGGGAAGGTATTGGACTTTTACAATTTCTCTCAAGAACCTACTTTCTCAAAGGATTCAGCAGGGCAGGTATCTAAACTTTAGTTATTGTGCTAATTAAAGTCTCTTTCCTCTTCGCTCTTCCTTTCCCTATTTCATTTTTTTTGTCTCGTTGGTAATGTTGTAAGGGAAAAAAAACTGGCACGGTTATTGTTGATAAAATTGTCAACCCTCCCCTACAATGCACCAAAAATTGCTGCAATATTCATATTTGACGTCTGAATGAATTTGCAGAGTCAATTGTCGGGAAATTTTGTTAGATCTATTCAGAGTAATTTTTCTGCTTCTCGGGAAAGGACATTAAATAAAGGTATGCTTTATAATTTACTTTCACTTGTTATAATAATAAACATGTGCTGTACTTGTTGTATTAAACAATATAAACTACTTAGATTATTTAGAAATGGTCTGAGTATAGTTTCACATTCTTATCATATATCAGCTTTTGAAGATATGAGGTATATGAGGAATGGTTTAAATATGGGTGAGAGTGATGAAATAATTCGTGTAGCCGGGGCATTTTATAGAGTAAGTTTCTTTGTTTGAGCCTTACATATATGATGTTTATATGTGTGTATATATTTTTATTTTATTGATGTTTCTTCATCTTTATATCGCACTGAAGATTGCTTTAGAGAGAAATTTTACAAGGGGACGTAGTACAGAATTTGTGCAAGCGGCTTGCCTTTACATTGCTTGTCGGTATGAGATCTCCTTTTCCCCTAAATTACAATTATTTAAATTTATCACATTGTTCTTTTTTTTATTGTTGAATTGAGTGACGGTATAGGTTTGCTGACATAGGGCCATTCAAGAGTTTTCTTAGTAAACAATTACTCATTACCTCCTCAAGAAGCTTGTTAAGAAATGAAATGGCTATTCTTGAGTGTTATAATCTCATTGGGATCGTCCATTTGAATTCTCTTTTTCGATGATTTGTTTGATTGCTTTCTACAAAAAGTTAGTTTCTATTCATAATTATTGCCTACCATTTTATTTAATGCGCATGTGTCATTTTGTTTTTTTCCTTAGATAATTGTTAGTGTCCAAGTCAATTTATGCTCACCTTGCTAGTCTCACATTATAATTGTTTGTCTATACAATTAGTAACCTTGAATTTCGTAGGATCTAAACGTTCTAGATAGGTGGTTAGCAGTTACCACAGTTTGAACCCATGATCGAAAGACATTTGGATTTACAAAGTATCTCATTGATCATTTGACCAATGTGGTTATATAACTATGCCCACCCATGGCGTTGGGATGGATTGTCGATTTCTTTTGGGAGGACTGCTGGCGGGGGATAGTACTCTTTATTGTCTCTTTCCTAGTCTTTTATCACTTGTCCTCGTTTAAGTTTGTGCCCATTGCGAGAATTCTCGTTCTCACTGGAGATTCTTTGTCAACTAGTTTTTGTCACCAAATATCTGATTGTGAATCTTCGTATGCTTCTGTGCTCAAACCCTTTTGAGAAACTTTCCAACAAGTTGCTTAGAACGCCACTAACCATGATAAAAAGGAAAGGTGACAGTGTAGCACCTTGCCTTAAACCCCTCGAAGCGATTATTCTTTCTTTTGGTCTACCATTGTTGAAAATGGAATATTTGGTACCCCTAATGCATCCATTGATCCAACTGATCCATCTTTTGCCAAAGCCTATTTGAAAAAGGACCTCCTCGAGGAAATTCCAGTCAACTCTATCAAATGCCTTTTCAATGTCCAGCTTCATTCACCAGCCTTTCTTCCCATTGCACTTATAATCCTCCACAACCTCATTTGCAATCAAATGGGATCCAAAATCTATCTCCCTTCTACAAAGGTGCTTTGATTTTCTGAAATGGTGGAAGAAACTACCTTTTTGAGGCGTTCTGTTAGAACTTTTTCCAAGATTTTGTAGATTAAGGTTGTAAGACTTGCTGACTGAAGTCTTTAACCTTAACTGCACATTCTTTCTTAGGAAGGAAACACAAGAAGTTCTCTTTTAAGGCATGCATTAACATGTCCGTTTTTAAAGAATTCAGCAAAAAGCCGCAAAATATCCACTTTAAATGAGGCCAAAATTGCATTAAGAATTCTAAAGTAAAATCGTCAGGTCCAGGAGCTTTATTATTCGTTCTTCCCAAGGCTCTTCACTGCCTTCCAGATTTCATCTTCCTCGAATTCCTTTTTCAGCCAAGTACTATCTTGAGTTGAAATCGGTTGCCAATTAATATCGCTGAGGAGAATTAATATCTCCGAGGAGAATTATTCTCCTCACCATGGTAAAGAACATCAAAGAAGTTAATGTTTTTAGCTTCAATCTCTCTTGATTCAGTGTTTTCAAAGTGCAAGGCACACCTCAAGACGACAAGTCCTTTGATTGCCTCAAGGCGAGAGGCGACAAAAAGGTAAGGCCTGAGTGAAGCGAGGTGCACTAAATAAAATATTAAATAAATAATATTTATTAATGATTAATATGTAAAATAAATAAATATTCAATTTTAAAATATGAAAATTAAAAAATTAACTTAATTAATTGAGAAAAATATGAATATTCGAAATAAAGAAAAAAGTAGTAGAGAGAAAATTGTATTTAAGATAAATGGTAAAAAATAGTTCTCTAATACTAAGAACTAAATACAAATAGTTGTATTTATGGGAAACAACTGTATTTATAGTAAACGGCTATGTTTATGGGAAACACAAATACTACATGACGACTAGCTTATCATGCAAGCACATAGAAAAATGAGCTGTCAAACTTTTCTTTTTTAGTACTGCCTTCAAATTTTTCTTCTTCTCGTACTACGAAAAACGAAAAGACCCTTCTTCGACTTCTCCTCAAACTTTTCTACTTCAACTATACTTCTTTCTTTTCTTTCTTCTTCAATGTGTTCTGCTTCATTTTTTCTTCTTCCTTTAACTTTACCATCTCTCCCTTTAATTCTACTTTTCTCCTCTCCCCATCTTCTTCTTTTTTGAACCCTTTTGTTTATTCTCTCTTCATCTTCTTCTTTTTTAAACTCTTCATTCTCCCTTTGTTTATTTTCGTTGTCCGGTGGATTTTTATTAAGTTAAAATCATAAAAAAAAATGATGCACCTGCCTTCAACCAGGCTCTCGCCTCGCCATAAGACTAGGGCACGCCAAGGCGCATTGAGGCGCGCCAAGGCGAGCACCCAGTTGAAGACAATCGGCTTGTCACCACTCAAAGAGCACCCAGGCGAAATTGCTTCGCCCCTTGCCTTAGGCGCTCGCTTGGGTGTGCCTCGAAAACACTGCTTTGATTTATAAGTGAGACCTCTTTGCTGTTGATTAGCTCAGTGATTAAAGAGTTCCTTTTTCTTGCTGCAAGGTACTTGTGAAAGAAAGAAGTATTTTCATCTGCTTCCTTTAACCTACTTTTGGATCAAATTTCCTTTCTCAGTGAAATAAATACTTTGTTGATCATTTTTGAGATAACATCTCTTTTCCTTTTCTTCTGAGAGTCCATGTGATTCGTCCTTCTTGTCAAGTGATGAAATGGACTCTATAATTTGAAGCTCCATCTCTTCTCTTTTTCTTTCTGAAAATGCCATGATTTGAGAGGGAATTTTAAATTTTGCAACTTTGAGGATGAAGTGAAACCTGCCCACCCATACGATTTTTCTTCTGCTAGCTTCAACTCAACGAGACTTCTGCAATCTTTGTCAGATAGGCAAGAATCGAAGAATCGAAAGGGACTAGGGCCCCATTTAAAGTCTCCTGCTTCTAATAGAATAGGATAGTGGTTAGACGTCACTCATTCTGCCCTTGAAACTCTGGAATTAATAAAGAGGCTGCTCCATTCTTTTGTCACCAAAAACTGATCGATCAAAGACTGTTTGGAATCATTCCCCATCTTTGACCATGTAAATTTCCCATTTGCTAAGGGAATTTCCAGCAACTCAAGTTCATCGATAGTGCCATTAGATATCCTCATGCCTTTGGTTATTCTTCCTCCCGAGGATCTCTCAAACGACCATCTGATAATGTTAAAATCACTGCCTATACACCAAATCCTGCCACAATAAGAATAGATGTCACGTACTTCTCTCCATAAATGTTTTCTCTCAATAGTTTGTTGGACCATAGACATTAGTTAACCATATGTTATTCAAATTTGAGAAAGAGATTAATATTGAAATAGTGTACCTCCTTTAAGAACCTCCTTGACGGTGATTCTTGATTCGTCCCATAATGAGAATGCCTCCAGATTTGCCAATTGAATTGATATTGGTCCAGCCAATGTCTCTAGAACTCCATAAGGAATTAATTATTCTTCTATCAAGTTGCTGTGCCTTTGTTTCTTGGAGAAAGACAATCTCCGAGCAATGATTCTGGATGAAATTCTTTATCTTTAACCTCTTCGTGCTGCTTCCAATGCCTCTTACATTACATGTGAGTACCTTCATTTGGTTCAATTAGTAGGTACCAGATTAATACCTACTTCGTCGAAGAAAGAAGGAATTGCTGCTGCTCTTTCGTCATTGTAATGAGCTTCACATAAGCCTTGGACATACTCTAACACGTGACTGATCATCCAGGCCAATTTAATTTTCTAAGCATTCTGAAATAACTGGAGAATCCGCACTGCTGATACTAACCACAAAGTCCTCTTTGTTATTAGAAAATTTTGAGAGACTTCTCTGCTTGAAAATGCCTCATTGGTGGAATAAATTGGGCCTAAGTCAAGAGATGTTCGGGGAATTATACCGTTACCCTTTTGAGAATTATTTTTGAAGGGATCTTCTCTTTCATCATTAAGCCTCAAGTAAATTGGCTTGAATGGCACCGTCTGAAATAACCTTTTCCAAATTAGGTATGGCTGCTTAGTTACATCGTCTGGAATAATAAAACATACGAGGCTGCATTAAATGCTTGTCTTTCTTTGAGTCTAAGGAAAAAGAAAATACATTCCTTTTTTCCTTGATTGAAATCACTGAAGTGTTATTCCTACAATCAAGGGGAGCATTAATAAAATTGCTATCTGCATGAGTAACTCCATTAATGCTCAGTTCCTGCATGCCAGTTTTTAGAAAATCGTTCTCTTTAATTGCGTCTGCCTTGTCAGCAAGGAGAGAACCGTTAATGCTTGAGGGTTGCATGTCTTCCTTTTGAAAAATGATTTTATTACTGTTAGAAGGATGACACTCTGAATCAGTATAAATAATGGTCTCTGTTAAGGTAGACCCTTCGTCTTCCAAAATTGTTTGAACTCTCTCAATGTCTAATGAGTTCGAAAAGAACTCTATCTCTAACTTTATTTGTATAGCAATTCTTCTTGAAGCATGATAACGATCTACCTTGACAACCTCCTCTGCTGCTATCGTGAAAGAACCAAGCCTTGGATCATTGACCACGATTGAAGAGGGCAAGAAACCACACAAGTTCTTTTTAACTTGAATGATTGCCTTGGAGATGTCCAACATATTAAGGGTTTTTGAGGAAATACTTACCAGCCCTCTGTTGTATCTTCCAATTGCTTCAAAACTGTTCTTTTTCCAGAACTTGAAGGGTAAGTTCTTAAATTTAATCCACCTTCCATTTCCAAAAATTACTTCCTTTCTACTGTGTTTTTCAAAACTCCATCTTTCTAACTTTAGTTGGAACAACCCAACTTTACACCATTTTCTGTTCAAAATAAAGGGATTAAGAAATCTACCACTTTCAAACGTAACGAGGGCTTTATGAGGCATAAAAGGAT